CCTAGCCTTGCTTGATCCAATAAGTTTCCCCCCACTTTTTTAGTTTCAAACCTGTAATAGTTAAAGTCTCCTATAATGAGACCAGATGTTTCTCCTTTCAGACGGGGAGTTAGCAGCATAAATAATCAATAACATGATAGGAGGGTTTGATCAATATTAAGAGAACCGTGAATCATTTGAGGAGTGAGAATTTCTTGATAGAAGGAGATAGCTGAAGAATCCCACTTAAATCAGATTCTACTAGAAGAATCATTATTATTATTATAACAGTAATCTTCATTATTAAAAAGTTTGTAAGAGTTCACAAATCAGTGATCCACCAAACTTGAAGGATGAATTTTGGCTTCAAGCACACATAACATCACATACTACGGACTCTTGTCTTCTGCCTACTACGGTCCTTCCGACCTCCATCACCTACTATGGTCATTCTGACCTCCATCACCAGACAACGGTCTTTCAAACTCCAGTCTTCAGCCGACTACGGTCCTTCCGACCTCCGTCGTCTATTATGGTCATTCCGACCTCCATCACCAGACAATCATCTTTCAAACCACGGTCTCCTGCCAACTACGATCTTTCTAACTCTTGTCTGCTGTCGAGTACGGTCCTTCCGACCTCCGGCGCCTATTATGGTGATTCTGACCTCCATCACCAGACAACGATATTTCAGACCCTAGTCTCCTACCAACTACGATCTTTCAGACTCCTGTCTCCTGTCGACTACAGTCCTTCTGACCTCCATCACCAGACAAACGGTCTCTCAGACCCCGGTCTCTTGCCAACTACGGTCTTTCAGACTCCTGTCTCCTGCCGACTATGGTCCTTCCGACCTCTGTCGCCTACTATGGTCATTCCAACCTCCATCACCAGACAATGGTCTTTCATACCCCGATCTCCTGCCAACTACGGTCTTTCAGACTCCTGTCTTTTGTCGACTACGATCCATCTGACCTCCGTCGCCTACTATGGTCGTTCCAACCTCCATCACCCTACAACGGTCTTTCTGACCCCAGTCTCCTGCCAATTACGATCTTTTCGACCTCTATCTTATCAACTATGATCCTGCTGACCAAACGAACATGTCTATGTTGATTATTGTAACTCCCACCATATAATGTGCTCTATATGATGTATATTTGTACCATAAAGCCAAGGCCTTCTCCCTAAGAAGGATCTCATTTGTAATCGACTGCAAATACCAGCGGATTCTTTCAAACTGGATTATGCCCTATGATTTTTCCCCTTTTTTTCAGGGGTTTCCACATAAAAATTTTGGTGTCTCTTATGAATGCTAAACTCTCTCTCTTATCTACTTGTGTGCTGGATCTTCATACAACATTAAGACGTTAAACTATATATTTCTCTACTGCCACGTATACTCCATGACGCAACAATCTCTTTTCTTCTCCAACTCCATGTAGAACCTCGTCCACTCGGCCCGCCCCTTCTCATTCACACGACTACAACCCTCTCTGGTCTTTCTTGTTGACATGACGTAGCCAAACCAAAGCCCTCTCTTCTATGTTGTGAAGCCCAACCTACTTTCAAAGCCCCTCTCGACCCTAACTTATCAGACCAATTCTCATCTCCCTTGTGCAGGCCTAGCTTAGACGGACATCCCTCCTCCTCTGTCATAGCTGACACTGGCCCTGTCTCCCCATCCGCATGTGATTTCTTCTTCCTCTTCATCTCTTCTTTTTTCATCTTCCTCCCTCTATTTCTTCTTCTCCTCCTTCTATTCATCGGTCATTTCCATTCTTCACCCACATCCCTATCTTCTTCTCCATACACATATACTTCTTCTTCTTCTTCACCCACACCATCTCCCTCTTCTCTACCTTCTTCCACATCTTCCTCTCCTCTTCTCCTTCTATATCATTCTTTTCATTCTTCTCCAACATTCTCTTCCTCCATCCTCTTCTTCCATTCTCTATCTTATTTGGTCTAAAAAAATCAGAAAAAAAAACTTTGTTTTGCCATTTAACTGCTTTCAAGAGAAAAAAAATATATATATTTCTTGCTTGTGATACTTTCAATTTCGACTTGCTTAACCATTGCCTCATTCGTGGTATTGGCAAAGTATTGTGATGTGTAGCTTTTTTTTTTTTTAAGGATGATTAGATGTGTAATATGTTAAACTACTCTCATGCTCTTTGGTTTCCCCAATATATGTATTAAATGACAATGTGAGATTGTGATTTTAATACAAATATCAATTTATTGGTGGATTCAGGAGATTGAGATACTACGGCTTAGTCCCTTTCATTTTTTGATGTAGAATCTATACTTTTTGAAAGTTGAGATGATAGATCTTTTATGTTTCGTTGTCAAAACTTTTACAAGATGCTTGCATTTGTCTATCGTACACGTGCCGCCATTAATGAAACAACTCATTGGTGACTTGCTTGTCACATGATTTTGGTAAAAGCTCTTCATATATATTGTATAACTGATTAGACCAACTTGTGTTTATTGCTTATATGACGATAGGGGTGCAAATGAGTCGAGTCAAGTTCGAGTTAGGGGGTGTTCGAGCCCGACTTGTCTATCAAATACCGAGCTCGACTCGCAACACATAAATGAGTTATCAAGCTGCTCGTCGAGCTGCAAGTTGAGCCGTTCGATTTGGTTTCCTGCCCTCAATTCTCAGTTTGCCGCCTAGTTTTTCGGCCAACAACAGCGCACCAGTTTTTCCTCTGCACGCGGAATGACGAAACTTGCCATTTTCCTGTGGATAAAAGAGAAGTGAATTGCATTTTTTATCTTCTCTTGTATGAAGCATTTAATTTAACATTGACATCAACTTTTCTTGGGAACATAATTGGGTTGGAATAATTAGTACTTACTACAATTTTTTAGAAACGGTTACAGATTTAAATCTAATAAAAATGGGAAACTGTTTAAAGTTTTTAAATTGTAGATGGAGCTTAGAGTAATAAATAGGCAAATAGCATTGTATTGTAGGTATAGTTTAATTTATAAAAAAAAAACTAACTACAAGTCTACAACCCTTTATTTTTTTTAAGATTTAAATTTAATAAAATAGTAATTATTTAACCTAAAATAATTTGAGCCGGCTCACGAGCTCATGAGCCGAGCCGAGCCACATCAAGCTCGAACTAGAGCTCGTTTACTAAACGAGCTCGAGCTCGACTCGTGAGCTCGATAAGCTCGGCTCACTTACACCCCTATATGACGATTTCCATTTGTTTGACGTCTTCTGATTAACATAACATGTGTGTTTTTCTGTATATCATTCAGGTCGTAGCCTCAACATACACATTGCATGACATTTGTTTCTATCTTAATAGGTTAATTGTATTAATCTACCTGCATTGTTCAATGTGTAAGTCATCACCTACACTACACTTATATGTAGATATATATCTACATACATATATATATGTGTGTATATATATTTGTTTACATGTAACAAAGTTCATGCATCAATTTCTATGAAACATGATTATACATCTATAGCGTGTGCATGTATATCTATACTTATGTGTATGTACACATTTATCTATATATGTATGTTTATGTATATGCATATGTATGCAATGGATTTAGCACATTTATCACATTGTGTTGAATATTGAAATTCATACTCTAAGCTTCCATGAAATGCATATACTCATATATTTAATAGATTTTATGCATCTACCAAAATACATTAAATGTTGAATTTCATGCACATTTCCAATTCACATATGTATACATGCATATGATGAACTCCATGCAAACGTTATTTTGCATCGAGTGCTGAATCAAATGTATTTGTCTCTAATAAAGTATGTGCATACATCCATTTCATCCATTTGAATGAAACATGCATGCGTTTATATATATATATATATATAGCACATTTCCAATTCACATATGTATACATGCATATGATGAACTCCATGCAAACGTTATTTTGCATCGAGTGCTGAATCAAATGTATTTGTCTCTAATAAAGTATGTGCATACATCCATTTCATCCATTTGAATGAAACATGCATGCGTATATATATCTATATATATATATATATAGTCAATGGTTGGGAAAATGTTTGACGATAGTCCTACAACGATCGATGGTCAAGGAGGAGTTTGGTGGCAAGAGAATTCTAGTTTCTCTCGCTTCCTTGCTTGGGCCTCCCCTCAATGAAGAATGAGTGGACTATTTATTATTTTTTGAGAGTGGTATGACCAGTAAATAGACCTGTCAATATTGGACCCGACCCG